AAGCAAAAGCAAAACAAAAAGTGAAAAGTTAAATTTACATAATTCATTGGCCGCTGCGACAGCATTTAAGAGTGCTACAGTGACTGTGTGAGAGAGTGTGAGGGAGATAGACACAGACAAAGAGAGCGTGCAAGATGCCCTCATTGCTGGAGGCGCTTGAGCGCAAATATTTCGCCGAATGCGAATTCGAGAACGCCAATCAACCCGAGCTGCACAAGCGCTCCGATTTGCCCAATGATTTCACAGTTACCAAATGTGGCGGCCGCATGGAGTTCTCCATATTTATACCCCGTCTCTCGCCCCTGACCAGTGTGCCCGCTCTGCTGGTGCTCAATGACTGCGACATCGACTGCGCCGGCGATTTCGACAGCATTCGGGAGAAATGTCAGCGTGTGCGTGAGCTGGATCTGGCACAGAACAAGCTACAGGACTGGCATGAGGTCTTCAACATACTGAAGCATATGCCGCGCATTGAGTTTCTCAACCTGAGTAAGAATCAGCTGATGAATGTGCCCAGTGCGCTGCAGGCGGCGCCAACGATCAATCTGAAGAATCTGGTGCTCAATGGCACCTACCTGGACTGGATGTGTGTGGATGCACTGCTGCAGAACTTGCCGGTGCTGCAGGAGCTGCACTTGAGCCTCAACAACTACACCAGCGTGCTGCTCGACGCGGCGGCCGAGGGCAGTTGCCAGTGTGTGCCACAGACAGAAACGGGAAGCGAGGCAGAAGCAAAAGCGGAAGCGGATACGGAAAAGGAGACGTGTTGCAGCCTGTGCCAGGGTCGTCGCAAGCTAACCCAGGCACATGGCACTCTGAAGACCCTGCACTTCACCGGCAATCCCATCGAGCACTGGGAGGAGATCTGTCGGCTCGGTCGACTGTTTCCCCGCCTGGAGGCCCTGGTGCTGGCCGAATGCCCTATCAAATCCCTGCAGGCGTCTAACACAGCCGAATTGGATTCGGCCACTGCCAGCGAGTGCCACAAATACTTTCCCTGCCTCAAGCTGCTCAATCTGAGCTGTGCTCAGCTCAATAGCTGGGCGGACATCGATGAGCTGGCCAAATACGAACAGCTGCAGAATCTGCGCGTCAAGCATTGGCCCCTCTGGGAGACGCTGGAGTGCACGGAGCACGAACGTCGCCAGCTGCTGATTGCACGACTGCCAAATGTGTCCATGCTCAATGGCGGCGGCAAGATCAGCGTGGACGAGCGCGTCGATGCGGAACGTGCCTTTGTGCGTCACTATATGGACAAGCCGGAAGCGGAGCGCCCCGCACGCTATGCCGAACTGCTGGCGGTGCATGGCCAATTGGATCCGTTGGTCAATGTGAATCTGAAGCCAGAGAAGCGGGTGAAGGTCGTCTTCACGTACAACGATGTGAGCGAAAGTCGCTTCGTGGACATCTATCTGACGGTCAACGACCTGAAGGTCAAACTGGAGAAGCTCATCGGACTGGCGCCCAACAAGATGCGTCTCTACTATCTCGATCAGGACTACAAGGAGTTCGGGCCGGAGGAGATGCGGTATCCCAATAAACAACTCTACAGCTATAATATACAGTCGGGAGATGAGATCATTATCGACGCCAAGAAGTAAATCCGGAAGGCAGAAGTATCGATGGACTATTGGAATGATGATAATTCCTGGAAATGTTGCTACATTTGTGAACGAGCGGTGCTAAGAGCAACAACAATTTGTGATCTTGTATCAAGCTTCTTACTGACGGATACAAAAGCCCAACCAACATGCATATATCTATCTATCTATATATATAAAAATACAGACATATATATGTTATGAACAACTTTATTCAATCGTATATATTTTTACAATTATTTACCGCCTTCCGACAAAACCGATCTACTGTATATATATTTCAATGGCCAAAACACACACAGACATACAAGTAAAACACACCCACGCACACACTTGTCCATATATAAAGATATATTTTAATTAACATCCTAACCTAAGCCAACTACAAACTAAAAACAAAATACTTAAGTATAACAAACAAGCATTATATTAAAATTTAAAACAATTTTTGCTGAAATATGACTCAGAGTTTTTCTTTCTCTCGTTTTTAATGGATTCATTGTTATCGATTGGCTGGGAGTTGTCGTTGCGATAAGATACAGTTTGGAGTGCTAGGAAATACATATGCGCTAGATCTATTGTCTATGTCACGAACACTCGTTGGGAGAAAAAAAGTGAAACAAGTGAAGTCTAGCTGCGCAACACTGAAGTTTGAATACCCTTTAGGAGATGGGACTTTGATATCATTTTAGAGAACGCTGTTTATTACAAGATGAGAGCTTTTGCATGACAGTTTTTAATCTTATCATATAAGAATATTGTCATTTAATATGCCTGAAAACATAAGAGAGCGTGGGAGAAAAAGTAAGAAAATTCCCTTAGCACTTAGTTCTAGGCTATATGATATCATAGCCCAAAGTTAATTTTAAATTAAAAAAAAAAAAAACTTTTCTTATGAAATATTCAAAGAGTGAAAGAACTTCTGTTGTTGACCTCTAGTTTCTATGAAAGTAATATGATACGAAATGGCGACTTGACCGACGTAGAAATGGTATATATAGAAGTTACGTACTCATAGATTATTAGCTATGCCATGCACGCAACTCGCTTGCGTTACATTTTTCATGAAACAATCATAATACCCTCTCCAAGTATAGGAAAATGAAATAAAAACTTCGTGACTCTCTGGTATTGCACGCGCATCGTTTGTTGGGATCCGCTTCGTTTTTCTAAAAGCTTTCAATTATGGCAAGCGACAACTCGATCTGTTGATGTATTGCCAACATCTAAGCCAAAGCTTCCGTCATGCTTAATAAGCATTTTATACTTTATATATAATATATACGCACACATCTTTTATATGATATTATTGGATTATAATAAAAAGTGCAAACTGTTTAAAGTTGAAACTTGTTCTGCGTCTCCCACACACAATTAACATCGCAATATGAATCAGAATTTATGATTGGGGTTATTTGTGCATAGTTTATTTTAATTGGCACTTTTTTTTTAACTGAATAAACAGAACATATGAGTTTATGATCTTCTAGACTGCGATCTTAAAAGGAGAACCGCAAATATTTGGCGCAAAGATTCAAAGCTTTATGCGAATGCAAATCAAAATGGTTTTAATGGACTTATTTATATGGTTAACCACAAAAGTTCTTAAAGTTTTAGCAATTCAAAATTGCATTAGCTCACGATTCATTTATATGCACTATAAAAGATTGTTTTGCAAACAAAAAATTGCATGTAAGACATTTGAGTGTTAGTTCAAGAATTTATAAAAGAAATAGAAAAGAATAATAAAATATTTAAATATTTAAAAAGAAAAATATATCTGAATATAGATTTTTTTTAAGCAAACCTTACTCTATTAAATTGTTTTATTTTTTATAATTTAATTTTAAACTATGATTTAGGCAAGCAAAACATTTAGATATTATTGTAAAATCTTTTATATTCTAAATAATATAAAAATTTTTAAACAAGAATTTTTTATAAATTTGCTGATATTGAAATACATATCTAATAAATTTATCGAAACCAAAAAATGTTATAATTAATTTTAAAATGTATTTCTTGAAGTAATTTATTTCTCTGTACCTGTTGTGTTTTGTAACAATTTGATAGAGCCTAAGCTAAATAAGCTAAAAGCTCTGCGTGTATGCTAAATTAATTGCATAAAGCTTGTTGCATAAATACCAATGCACCTACACACTTACATGCAAACTATTAAAGAACACAGTCTAGAATTATTATGTCAATAAGAGTAAAAACAAAAAACAAAAACCTAAAATTAATTAATGAGGAGTATTAATGAATTATGCAATTTTAAAGAATTTTAAATAAATAAATTAATTTCATTATTATGGAGAATGTTTCTATTGAGGATAGAAATTTGATTTTGATTGTTTTTTGCTGCAATAAACAAAATAAAAATGCTCATAAATATTGTAAGGCTAATGTTGCTATAAAAACAAGCAACAACTACAATTTTGGCAAATCAAATATTTGGCATATGCAAAAGTATTCAATAAGAAATATGTTTTAATCAATCAAAGTTTATGGCATTTTGAGAGCTGCCTTCGCCACAAAACATTCTGCCATGGGAATTTTTTCACAAATTTTTCCTATTGCCTTTCTGTGTATATGTGTGTGTGTGTGTGCCGGCAATGAATACAGATAGATGCCTGAACTGCCTGTAGGCTGTCGGCCTACATGCAACAGAAGCTAATGCAAACAAGTTCTCCAGAAACTGGGTCAATGCAGCATGCAGTGTCTGCCTCAGGCTCCAAGTCAGCTTTAGAATATATTAGAATTTATTAGCTAATATAGTATACGTATGTATCAATGGGTCTATAATAAAGCAATAGATCTATCATAAAGCCTATACATAGTTGTAATTGTAATGGGCCATCAAAATTTGTTCCAGCCATAAATGCGAACTCACACGCCCACCTTCAATCAATGGCAGCCCACCTATATTTGCATTAACTATCTGCCAAAAAATAAAATTTATATAGAAATGAGGCGTCGACATTTATGGCTAATGACGTATATCAAGCATACGACACGAAATATCGAAAAAACCTCTAGAGATCGTGACTAAACGAAGGAGCTCCAAACGCCCACAAAATGACAAGCTCTAAAAAGAAATAAAATGTGCGAAAAAGTATTGGCAAAAAAAAAAAATACGTAGACAATTTTATGACGAAGTCGCAGGTGTAACAAAATAAAATAAAATGCAAAATAAAATCAAATCAAATAAACGATCATAAAAATGCAAGGTGTGTAGAAAAAAAAAATAGCGAAAAACAGTTTATGTAGATAATTAATAAAATTTACACATGGAGGTTTTTTGGAAAGTCTATAGCCAGGGAAGGTTTTAAACGCTCGTAGCGCTCAGCAAACGATCGAGTTGTGATTTGTACGGCAAACGCGACACACGTCCGTATACCCAATTTCCGAGCTCTATTATCAGCCGTATATATATTACTATAAAAATATATATATTTGTGTTATTTTTCGTAAAGTGTTGAAGTGTGTGTTTTGGGGCGGGGAAATGCACTTAAAATGGATCCAGAGAATGATGTTTATGCCTTCTATGATATAAGAGGCTTCAAGCGGTGCGATGATGCAACATTCAACTCAACTAAAACCCAATTGCTTTACAAACTAGCATCTCTATATGAATTGTGTTTATTTGTTTTTGTAGGAAATGTAGACCGGCGGGACCAAATAAATCGCAAAAATTTCTGCAACCGCGAATGTCACTCCTAGGGAAGCCGCTGAACTACAATCGCGGCACACATCGCCGCGATGCGCGCTACCGGCGGATGCAAAGTCGCCTCTACAATTTTCTGGAGAGACCGCGCGGCCTGCATGCCATATTCTATCATGTGATGGTGTAAGTAGACAAACGATCCATTTACCATATTAAACCAATAAAAAAAACCGTATTCCACGCTCATGAATTCATAGGCGATCATCTAGTTGCATATCCAAATGATTTTCATCTTTGAAGTCTAAATGAATTTTTTATTTAACCAGATTTTACAATTAACTTGAATCAAATTTGAAATTTTTCTGTAGTTGCAATTAGTGAGTAGGGGTTTATAATATTCTTAAAAA